TACTATCATCTCAACTATATTTGTGAGAATACAGACACTCCTCAACTTATGATGGGGTTACATCCTGATAAAACTACAGTAAATTGAAAATATTTTAACTTGGAAATATATTTAACACACTTAACTTAGCAGCTGTCACAACTCACAGGAGTACACTGTAGAGCTTTGGCTGTTTCCCCTTGGGATTGCATGGCTGAGGCTCGGCATCACACTCAAGAGGAGCATACCAGAAACTGCCAGTCAGGGAAAGATTCAAATTCAAAATTCAAAGTATGGTTTCACCTTTTTTTTTTTTTTTTTTTTTTTTTTTTTTTGGTACTGGGAATTGAACTCACGACCTCGCGCTTTCTGGGCAGGCACTGTGCCGCTGAGCTAAATCCCCAGCCCTTAAAGTATGGTTTCCACTGAATAGTTTTCACACCATTGTAAAGTGGGAAAATAGTAAGTCACATCATTGTAAATCAGGGATTATCTGATACTAGTATTAAATGAATAAATTTAAAATGACTTTCTTCAAGACAGGTTTTAAGCAAATGAATAAACTTATCAGTAGACTGATTTTTCTATAGTTTTAGGGAAACTGAGGCACGTAGCAGTGGGACAGGTAATGTCCCTGCTCACAGAGGCTTCAGTCCTGGTGGTTAAACCTGCATTTGGCATGAGGAAGCTCATGCTCTGGCAGGGAGGTACAGGCTTCCCAGGAATACACAGTGGTGTTGCAGAACCCAGTCAGCTCAGGCCTAGCTGTGTCTGCTTCACCACTACTCAGCCCTTCCTGACTGCCCACACCCAGCACCTGGAGTGCTGCAAAGACAGCCAGACAAGTGAGCTGCTCAGGGCTCTACATACGGGGAGGTGGCAGGGGTAGGCATGAGAAGACGGGATGGAAGAGGGTGAGGTTGGGGGTTAGGCCCTTCCCAGAAAGCTGGTGGGTTGGGTATCTCCTTCCCTCTTGTCCCCTCTTGCCTGGTGCCTTCCAGCATTAGAGGGCAGGTCATGGGGGCAAAAAGGACTCTAAGAACACTGTCCTGATAGATTAGGGACCCCATCAATGTCCTTACTCCACCAAACACCCAGGAGGCAGGTAGAACACAGAGGGAAACTCAGTTCCAGAAAAGATACACCCTAAGTGGGATGGCCAAACCCTGTTGCTTCAGGGATAGCTCACCTGATGCAGTTTTGACACTGCTTCCCTTGTGCTCCACAGCATTTGAAAACAGGGCCCTGGGCTCCACCTGGCTCAGTGGGGAAAGGAGGAGTCCCCTGCAGCTGCTCTATGACCTGGACCAGGTAGGTGGACAGACCCGCCCCAGGGATGCTTGCCTGTTCCCCCAGGCTAGGGAATTCAGAGCCCCAACTTGCGCCTGCTGTCACACGGCTGGATTTCACAGTGGGGCATGAAGGAGCTTCACCATCCCCACCTTTGTCCAGAGAGTGACAAGGACATGTCCTGGGGGTAAACTGGGGAGCCTGGAGTCTCTACTCACTTCATTCCTCCCACAAGACCCTGAGGCCACCTTGTGTGGCGGTACTATTCTACATGTCACAGACATAAATGAGAGTAAACTAGCCAGGGGTGGTGGTGCACACCTGTAATCCTAGCACTCTGGGAGACTCAGGTAGGAGATCACAAGTTCGAGCCCAGCATGGACAACTTAGTGACTTTGCAAGACCCTGTCTGAAAAATAAAAAGTGAAAAAGGCCAAGGATTGAGCTTTATGCAAAGAGCTTGGATTTAATCCCTAGTGCTAGAAAAAAAAGTAAAATAGACCTGTGCCTTCCAGCATTAGAAACAAACCAATAGGGAGACAGCAATTAAGCTAATCTCCAATTTTTAGTATGTGCTACAACAAGGAAATGTGTGCAGAGTCCCCATCCTCTTGTTATGTTATTCACAAGCAGATGGACCCAGTAGCCCACTGGTTTGTGGACTTAAGTCCTGCTGGGACTATATCATCCTCCAACACACACACACAACTGCACAGATGCTCCTTGACTTATGAAGGCATTATCTTCTGAGAAGTATAGTAAGTGGAAAATTTTGTACATGTAAAATGTATCAAATGCACCTAACCTCCTGAGCATCCTAGCTTAGCAACACAGCATTCTGTAGAGTCTGGCTGTTTCCCCTCATGAGCACAGGGTGGACTTGGGCACATGGGTTGGCTGGCAGGGAGACAGGAGACCTGGCAGCTAGGTAGACGGCTGACACTCCTGGCCACAAGAGCATGGAGAGTTGTCTGGAGGCTGAAAGCAGATCTTGGCCGTAGAGCCCGGAGTACATACAGCCTTCCCCTGGCACCATGCGGACCCAGGTGCCTGAGGCCATTCCTCCACAGGGGAACAGGATTTTCCAAGTCCTTCACGGCCCTTGTGGTCAGGGTCAAACTTGCCATTCACGCCCATGGCGACACTGTGACAAAGTAATGTAATGAATGTGATGGGGAAATCAACACTAGGCCAGAGCACAGCGCAAAGACGGCCACTCCATCCCAGCCTTGGTTCTCCCCAGGGGTGACCAGAGCCCGTGTGTCTTTCCAGACACATTCTAGCCCTCCCAGTAGTGTCACCTGCACTGTTACAGGTTCCATTAACTTCTCCAAAATCTCATCTACACGTGTGTGTCCCCGTCTGTCTGTCTCTCTCTGCTTTAACTCTGCATTGTGAAAAATTCAAACATACAACCTATACTGGCATGAGGACTAGCCAAGTAATGCCTACATTCTCATCACTGATTCCCATCTACGGTTACTGTGAATCAAAATACAGCCTCATGGATTCTGCAACTATGTCAGTCACCTCTCTAAAGGAAGAATCCCTCCACCTAGCCTTGCGGAAACATTTTCCATTTTCTTTGATGCTCTCTTAAATTTTTTTATTTTGTTTTAAAGAGAGTAGTACCTGAGAAACAAATAAAAAAAATAGAACAGTAGCAGCATACCAGTATCGCAACATAAACAAATCAAAGCAAAAACATTCAAGGTGATACAGGGTCTCAAGACAAATTAATACAAATCAACAGTGGTTGTTACACTGTATATCGCTATCCTCAAAGACACTGCTCAGATTACCAGATGTAAGAATGAAAGATTGCTCAAACCATTAAAGAGAATAAGAAAATAATTCTTCAATAAAACCTTAGCGATAATTTAGAGTTTCACTAGTCAAGATGGTAGGAGTTCACCATTGTAATTCCACTGCATATTGTTACCTTCAAATCAGTTGCTCAGACCACTGCTCTTTTAAAGTACAGATGTTAAGCCCAGTTCTGTACTTCAGGTCCCCCCCCCACTGTATTGTGGATGCTTTGAGATACTTTTAAGCATCAGAAACAGAAGTGTACACAGTATGGGCGCATACGCACCCACTCCCCACCCCACTGATGTCAGAGGGTCTCATGTAGGCACAGCGTCTGGGGCTCCACCACTTCAGCCATTGCTCTGGCCTTTTCTGAAGTGGAAACACCCTAAAGGCTTTGTTCTTCCCTGAGAAACAACTCACCACAATACTCATGTTTATCAGATGTTCAATTTTACAACGTCATACACCCATCACCATTACCTAATCCTAGAAAATTTGCATTACCCCAAAACATACCCTTTACCTATTAGGAATCACTGCCTTTTTCCTCCCCTGGCCCTTGACAACCATTAATTTCCTTTTTGTTGCTACAGATTCACCTATTCTGGTCATTTGCATTTGGCCTTTCGTGTCTGAGTTTTCTTCACCTAGAATATCGCTTTCGAGGTTTATCTATGTTGAAGGACATGTCAGATCTCTATTCCTTTCTAGTGGAAGGATAATATTCCACTGTAGGGCTATACCCTATACTATTCACCAGTCCATCAGCTGGTGGACACGTGGCTAGTAGGAACAATGCTATGAACATTCACACACAGTATTTGTGCGACATGATTTTCTTTCTCGGGGCGCTCACCTAGGAACGGAACGGCTGGGTCGTATGTTTTATTTTGGGGCGGGGGGTGGGGAGCTGCCACATCGCTCTTCTCAGCAGCTGCAGCGCTTTGTAGTCCCACCAGCAACGCGTGAAGGTTCACTTTCTCTATGTCCTGACCAATATTGTCATTGTCCTTCTTGTTTTATCCTGAAGTCTTTTAATACAATTTTAAGAAATTAAAACTTTTTTTTTTTTTTTTTTTTTTTTTTTACTGGGGACTGAATCCAGGGCCTTTGCACTGAGTTACATCCCCAGTCCTTTTTAGATTTTTATTCTGAGGCAGTGGCTCGATATGTCGCCCAGTCTGGGCTCGAACTTGTGATCCTCTTTTCTCCGCCTCCCCGAGTGCTTGGATCACAGCCATGCAGTTTCCTTTGTATAAGGAATTAAAACAGCGTCTCGCACAGCGTCTCACTTTTAGTAATCAGTGTGCATTTGTGCCAGTAATCACACCGAGCACACTGACGTCATACTCTAGCTGGGCTGTTCTGACCCGGTCACAATTTTTTATTCCTCCCGGGGCCCGGTGATGGCTCTAGCACCTGATTAGTCACACCCTTCCCCGTGGCTCTGCAAGCTCAGATTCCATCCCTCCCACATTGAAGCGCAGGGCAGGGCCTGGGGCCCTAACCCACAGCGACGGGGCTCTAGGTTCAAAGCCAGGCGCCCCGCCCAGCCCGCGCCCAGCAGCCGCGGCGGGGAGCTCCCCCTGCGGCCAGCCAAGCGCGGGGCGGG